CACATACAGTGTGAGGTAGAGATCAAGCTTCAATCTTTGTGTGTGGATATGGAGGTGTCCCAGCAACATTTGTTGAAAAGACTATTCTTGCCCAATTACTGTATTGTGTTGATCCAAGTAACACTTTATATCTTAAATAATTTGCATGGTTTGAAAGTAAAATTAAAAAGTATTATATCAGATGCTTTACTGAGGCTCAAACATACAAAGGTTATTTATTTATACATATCAAATAAGTTTGTGACTTCAACACAATGCTATGCCTAGCATCAGTAGATACACAGTAAAATGTTGATATAAATGAATGAACACACAAAACTGTTTGATTAATTTTTGTTTTCAAAAATCAAGTTATGTATCTCTACCTTCCTTTTGCTTTGTAGTTTTACTTACAGATTACAAAATTTTGAGATTTCATAATACAGGACACTAGTAAATTTACTAAATGTTTTTTGATGTCTATTTACTTCTTGATAAAAGCTGTTAATGTAAAGAAACTTGTTTAGAAGACTACATATATTGAAAAAGCATCTGGCTAAGTGGTCCAGTTTACCTAGAACCTTTTTTTTTTTTTTCTTTTTTAACATTTCCCATCAGTGCTATCTCTCAAACTAACCAATCTTCTGGCAACAACACATGACATACAAAATGCTTCATGAACTTACTTAAGAAAAGTTAGTAATTACTTAAGAGAAGTGATATAAACGTGAGGATCATAATAATTAACACCCATTACTGAACAACATTGTACATGTACATCTGGTTAAGCCAATAGCCTAGAGTGGCAAAATTAGTATGCTGTGGCACCTGTATTAAAACCCAGACTTGACTCCAAAAACAATGCTGCTGGCATCTGTATTGTGTCCTCTGAAGATAGTAGGGATTGTACTAAATTCCCCTATGAAGACCTAACACAAGTATCTCTAGTTAAGTAAACAGGATCTGTATTTGTAATGGTAACACTGAGGAGGTCGAGGGGCACATAAGATTCCCCCATCTCAAAATGAGTGCCCTACCCAATACGTTACTACAAGTGTACATACAACTGTACAGAGCGTAACAGAATGTGAAGCATGACAGCATTCGTCATTTGTTCTTTTATTCATTCAGCAAATATTTAGAGTACAGGTTATGAACTAGACATTATCGTAGGCATTGAAGATACATCGATAAACAAGACAATGTTCTTGCAATCATGTACCTTCTTGAAAGTGGATAGACTCAGATAAGAAATACAGGTATCTAAAAATAAAATAAGATCATTTTTGGTGGTAAAAAAGCTATGAAGAAAATTCAAAATGATGATTAAATAAAGAGCTATGAGAGGAGAGGGGCCACTTTGGCTCAGAGAGTCAGCAAAGGTCTCTATGTGAAAGTAATATTTGGACCCAGACCAAAAACATGAGAAGGAGTGGGCTATGTCAAGATCTGGGAGAAGAGAGTTCTAGGTAGAGGGAACAGCAAGTGAAAACCCATGGACGTGAGAATGAGCCTAGCTGTTTGTTGGAGGAAGAGATAGAGATAGCCGATGGAACCCAGTAGATGAGGGTGAGAGTGGAACACAGTAGATGAGGATGAAGTATGGACAACAGGCTGAGGTTGGATCATGTGAACTTTTGTCCATCACAATAAGGAGTTTGGTTATTAAACTAATCACTCTGGGTAAACATTAGAGAATTTTAAGCAAAAAATAACATTGCCAGTGAATATGGTGAGAAGTGATTCAAGATATATTTTACAGGTAGAACCAGGAGAGCTTGTTGAAGTACCAGATATACAGGTGAGAAAGAGAAAGAGTTAGATTCATGAAGCCAGGTACTTAAATTGTAAAACATAACTCATACTTCTATTTTTGCAAAATAGAAATTGCAAATTTCCTAACATAACTAAAATTAAAAGAAAAACTCTGTTTCCTCTCCTCCTCTTCTTCTCCATCTCACCCCCACAGAGAATTTTATCATCATCACATCAGTTTCTGCATTCCAATAATTTTGGTCACACCATGCCTGCACTGTGAATGATACATAGTTTATTGTACCAATGTGCTATGCACAGGAAAAAAGAGATAGTTATTCTTGTTCCAAGAAAAAAAAATCCAACTATTTTGTCATATTCACCAAAGTGCTTTTCGCTTAAGTTATTGAGTGTGTCCCTTGTGGCAAACGTGTCTGGGGTTACTTGCACCATCCATAGCCCCTTCTCTGAAAACTCCTGATATGGTTTGGCTCTGTGTCCGGTCCCTACCCAGATCTCACTTTGAATTGTAGTAATCCCCATGTGTTGTGAGAGGGACCCGGTGGGAGGTAATTATATCATGGGGGCGGTTTTTCCCATGCTGTTCTCATGATAGTGAATAAATCTCATGAGGTCTGACGGTTTTATGAAGGGGAGTTCCCCTACAGAAGATCTCTTGCCTGCCACCACATACGAAGTCCCTCTGCTTTTCCTTTGTCTTCCACCATGATTGTGAGGCCTCCCCAGCCATGTGCAACTGTGAATCCATTAAACCGCTTTCCTTTATAAATTACCTGGTCTCCAGTATGTCTTTATTAGCAGCATGAGAACAGATGAATACAACTATCCTTACCTGTAATCTCACCCAAGGAATCAGCCCAGACATTCATGTTTGTACCATGGATGTAATTTTATTCCCTACTCCCAACACACATGTGATTGGAGCAGGATTGCCAGCTGGTTTATTAGTAGATAAAAGGGTTGATAGAGCAAAGACAAAGAGAGCCCACTAGAGTTAGGTTCTGGAACTGACAGGTCATGGAGAGAGAACTTGAAACCGTACCACACTAAGACAAAGCCAAGTACATGCTGCAGTTATGGGGAAAAGAAACTGTAGCAGGTCAGGAGACGGGAAAGACCAGACCAGTATAAAGGCATATAGTGGAAGACCAAGAAACAGAAACAAGAGAGCATGCAGACTTAGAATTCAACAATCTAATGGTTTGGGTGGGTGTTTTGCAACCAGAAGTCCTGGCGAAAACAATCCCCTAACCTATTTAACATATAATGCCATTTACAAATACCTGACTTTAGCTCAACCTTTATTAGGAATAAATCTAAAGCCTGGCTATAGTGGGCCACTGGTGAATATTGTTGACCAACTGACCTATCTTCCATTCAATGAAACAAAGATTCTGTCTCAGAGTATGAATCTTCCAAGAGAACTTGAGACCGTCAAGGTCATTAAACCCTGTGACTCATGGAAAGGGAGGGAGTTTAAAAATCGTATGTCCTCTTTCCAAAAATCCCTAACTGGTATTCCATGACACTTAAAAAAAACTTTCATCATTGAAACTACAAGAAAAGTCATCTTTTTCTGGCCAATATTGTTTGGACTATCACTAATTTTCTAGCTGAGATTAGATTATGTATGGTGATAAGATGAAGTATATGAAAGTTACATTATCAATTGTGCTATATTGTGGGACCAAAACAAAAAGAAAATGTGAAGGTCTGTCGCTGGAAATGTGTGGGAACCTGATAAGAAAGAGGAAGTCTGGAATGTGACAAAATCTATGGATAAATATAACTAAGTGTAGCAAAACTCAAATCATACATATTCTGGGCACTAAAAGATCTAAAATAGAAACAAAAACAAAATGATACATTTTTAACTGTATATTCACACACATACTATATCCCTATGTATATATACCCTATACATATGTGTATACAAATACAGAAAGAAAAGGACAGGGGAAGACACACCAGCTGACAATAACTGTGATTACTTCTGCAAAAGCTACTAGGGAACATGACTGGTCAAGGGGGACTTGGGCTTCATCTGTAATGTCTGAATTTTTGGACATGAAATACATCATTAAACACACTTATTAGTTATTTAGAAAAATATTAAACAAGAATGAAAAAAGAAAAATCTGTGTAAGAAACTGTGCTAATGTGAAAATAGTTGCAAAACGTAGGGATGTGATGTTATCCAATTTGCCAACTTGTGAACCTTTGAAAGTCATGGCTAAAGCTTACAAATTCATGCTACCAAATTCTGACACAAAACTTTAACAAGTCTTTACCATCAGCTGTTTTGCTGAAATGAGAAGTAATAAGATTTATCTAAATACTGCCCAATGGCATAATTAGAGAATTCGAGATTCCCTTAGAGTTCAGTTCTCAACAAAAGGTGAATAGTCCTGAGCTCTTTCTCACCCAACCTTGCTAAAATCTGAAAAGCTGTCTCTTTCAGGAAGCTGGTAAAAGATTAGCTGAAGCAGTACTGCTGATAAGGAGCTTCCAACCCTTAAAGTCTGAGGTGCCTCTATGACAAAAAATTAGCTGTGGACAAATAGGAAACAATAAATGACAGGTGGCCTGTTCTAAGAATCGCTGATAAAGCACAACCTAAGATTGATATATGAAATAGTTGTCCGTCTTGTCATTAATTGCCCCATTGAAACCACCCTAAGTTATTCAACACATAATTGAAATTTCTAACATCGAACCAAAAACCACCTCAACCATCTATCAGAATACTAATCACACTTTTAAAACATTACTTTCAAAAAAGAAGAATGAGAAATTCACTTGCTTGTGTGTTAGATATGTCAAACCTTTTCAAAATCATGACCTAACCTAAAATGTTCTAGAAGCACAAGGTAAAATTATATTTATTTCCATGTGCCTTACAGACATCCTCCTTGCCTTGTTGAAGGTATTCAGAAGGAAAATTTGAGAGATCATTTTGGTACTAAAATGAAAGGTCCCTCTTTAAAAAAAAAAAAAAAAAATATATATATATATATATATATATATATATATGTTAGGAAAATCTTCAAAATGTCTAAGAGAAAGACTAGAAGGGAGATTTCCCTTGCAATATTTTTCTTCTGTTTTTTGAGAGAAAAAAACACAAATAAATGTGTCAAGATATCAGTTTAAAAGCATTCTTTTTTTCCCTCTGTGTTTCTGTGCACATTACTGAATACTGTAAGCAGGGTGTGTGAACTTCAAATTGATTTTTGACAAATAACTACAGATTTGCACACATTTATTCATTCTTTTACAGTGCCCTGTGGGTCCAATACATTCATTTGCACTGTGGCTAGAGACAGTCTAGGAGAGATGCTGCAGGCCCCAAAGCAAGTGGGGCTAATTGGACTATGTGCGAATTGAACCCATGACCTTGGCCTCCACTAGACTGTAATCAAAAGAATTAGTTACCAACAAATAACTGCTCAGATAACAGCAATATTCAAGAATAACAATAAGATGAACAGTACTTCAGAAAACAAAATTTAAAGTATGTTATTGATAACCTGGATAGCAAATAGTGGAGCAAAAAATAAATACCTGCTTTCCCGTCATGTCCAAAATACTTTAGTTGTTGTTAAACCTCAGGTAACTTTGGGTGAAATAATTTTGAATGTATATTTTATGCTTCCTCCTCCTCCTCTTCCTCCTCCTCCTCCTCCTCCTCCTCCTCCTTCTTCTTCTTCTTCTTTTTGAGACAGAGTTTCCCTCGGTTGCCCAGCCTAGAGTGCAGTGGCACAATCTCAGCTCACTGCAGCCTCTGCCTCCAAGACTCAAGCGATTGTTCTACCTCAGCCTCCTGAGTAGCTGGGATTACAGGCATGCACCACTACACTCAGCTAATTTGTATATTTTTGGTAGAGACAGGTTTTCACCATTTTGCCAAGACCGGTCGTGAACTCCTGGCCTCAAGTGATCCTCCCGCCTCAGCCTCCCAAAGTGCTGGGATTACAGACATGAGCCACTACACCCAGCCTCAAATGTGTATTTTAAACCTAAAGTTTTTCTTATGTGTGTGTTAAACAAGTATTTATCAATTCAAAAGGTAATCTGTATTGGTATTTTTAATTTAAAAAATTTTTCCACCACCATTATATACAGTTCCCTATTTTGTTTAATGAAGGGATATATAAGCTTTCTAATGGTGCCTTCAGAAATTTCTAAAATGTAAATACTGATTTGATTGGTCTTTAAGATGTGTTTAACTGTGAGGCTATTTAACGAAGTGTGGATGTGATTTGTCATCCAGTATTAAGTTCTTAGTCATGGATTTTTGTGTTTAAAAAAAAATAAGAGGGAAACTGCAGTTTTCATTACAGATTCCTTGATTTGTAAGCTCTCCAAATGATGAGTTCTAGTAAACTCTGATTTTGCCTGTGGATAGTAGATCTCGAGCATTTATCTCAGGCTTTAATTTGCTAAAGCTGTGCACATATGTAAAAAAATAGATTGTTTTAGGGGAGATGTAGGTGTAGAATTATTGCTTATGTCATTTCTTAAGCAGTTATGCTCTAGATTAATGCTTAAAAGAAGGCTAGTTGTTTGCACAAAAAGTTGGTGATTCCCTCCCCCAAATAGTAATAAAATTACTTCTGTTGAGTATACTTTTTATGTCATCATAAAAGCTGAACAAAATCCCTTTGTTTCTATTTATTTAAAAAATGCTTTTCTATATGTACCCTTGATAACAGATTTTGAAGGAACCTTGTGAGATGATAAAGCATTTGAATGATACAGTAGATGTAAAAAAAAAAATCAGTTTAAAAGAACATTTGCTTTTACATTAAATGTTTATTTGAAATCAAATGATTTTGTATATAAAGTTCAATAATATAAAAACAGTAATCTATCAAAATCAGTATATAAGACTGTTAGGAGTTTGTCACTATGAGAATAATAATAAGCTATTGATTGGAAAGGATTGAGTAATAAGCGAAAGTAAAAACAAGTTAGTAACTAATTAACTAGGAAGCTAGTTACTAGCTTCTGTACCTGTATCTGCTATAGAAAAAAATAAAAGCAACCACAATGTTCAACACAAGCTACCAGCAGCATTAGGCTCCATAAACAGCTCTCTGTAGGTCCCAGGTGAAGGGAGGAGCCAGACAAACCCAAAGTGAGGAACTTCAATGGTTAATTTTATGGACTGATTTGGCTAGGTCAAAGTACCCAGTACTTGGTCAAACATCAATCTGAAGGCTCCTGTGAAGGTATTTTAGGGACGTTATTATCATTTAAACAGTGGACTTAGAATAAAGCAGATCAACCCTCATAATATGGGTGGGCCTACTCCATTTAGGCGAAGGCCTTAAAAGAAAACAGACTGATTGTCTAGGGAGGAAGAAGGAATTTTGCCTGTAGTCTACTTTCAGTCTCAAACTGCAGCATGAACTGGGACTGTAGGGGTTGAGAGGCAGACGAAGGGAGACCTGTCAGATGCTATACTTCGGGCAAGAAATGATAGTGACTATAGTCCTTAGGTGGTAGACATGCAATTCCATCAATTCATGGGCAGCAGAATTCCAAATTGGAGCTGCATCTCTTTGGAAATACTGAAGCCTGAAGGTTGCAGCTGATTATAGCATAGAGAGATGACCAAGCCTTATGCAGGGATCCAACTAAGTATTCTCACAAGTTCCTGAGGTAGGCAGGTAGAAGAATCAACCAGCGACTTTGCAATTACAGTGACTACGTTTATAATTATGGTCATGTGCCACATAACAGTGTTACAGTAGATGGCCAACTGTATATATGACTGTGGTCCCATAAGATTATAATGGACCTGAAAAACTATCACCCAGTGACGTCATAGTGAAACCACCTTTGCAAGATTGTAACTGAGGAGATTATGACAGTGAAAGAGATCAGACCTAACTGACTCTATCTTGCTGCTAAAACTGTCTTTGTTCATTCCTGAGAGTAGGCTGAACTAACTTGGGGAAGGAATTCAGTTCATGGTTTGACTCTGAAACAAAATTAATAACAGTCCTTTTCTGAAAAGACCCCGTTCTTGCCTGGGGTCCAGTCTGCCTTTGCAGGATTAACAAGTTACAAAATTGGAAAATGCAGTTTGGGGGGTCACACAATCTCTGGCACCAAGAGTCTGAACCTCCCCAAATTGATCCTGGGGATAACATCACTATTGTAAGACCTAAGATTAGTGCTTGAGATATGTTGCAGACCCTGCACTCAGTGGATCAGCTGACACCATTCAGACCAGTAATCTAGACCAACCAGTTCTGCCATCTCACCAAGGAGCAGAAGATTTTTAAAAAACCTAACTTCAACCCCCTATGATTCCATCTCCAACCTGACCAATCATCGCTCCCCACTTCCCAAGTCATTACCCGCCAAATTGTCTTTAAAAACTCTGATTCCTGAATGCTTGGGGTGACTGATTTGAGTGCTAATAAAACTCCAGTCCCCTGCACAGCAGCTCTGCGTGAATTACTCTTTCTCCATTGCAATTCCCCTGTCTTTATAAATCAGTTCTGTCTAGGCAGCAGGAAAGGTGAACCCACTGGGCAGTTACAATAACCATTGTGGCATTGTAGCACAACACATTACTCACAAGCTTGTGATGATGCTGGTATAAACAAATCTTGTGCTGCCAGTCCTTTTTTTTTTTTTTTTTTTTTTTTTTTTTGAGACAGTGTCTCCCTCTGTCACCCAGGCTGGAGTGCAGTGGTGCAATCTGGCTCATTGCAGCCTCCACCTCCTGGGTTCAAACGATTCTTCTGCCTCAGACTTCCAAGTAGCTAGGACTACAGGTGCGCGCTACCGTGCCCCACTAATTTTTGTATTTTTAGTAGAGATGGGATTTCACCATATTAACAAGGCTGGTCTTGAATTCCTGACCTAGTGATCCACCCACCTTAGCTTCCCAAAGTGCTGGGATTACACGCGTGAGCCATCACTCCCAGCCACTCCTAGTCTTATTAAAGCATAACACAATTATGTGCAGTATAACTTTGTTACTAGTTTATGTATTTCCTACATTATGCTTTTTATTGTTATTTTAAAGTGTACTCCATTTACACACACACACACACACACACACACACACATATACATATATATTTATATAGCGTATATATTTTAAAGTTTGTGTACCATCAGGGATGAGGTTGAAAAAAAATGTTAACCGTAAAACAACCTCAGGCAGTTTCTTCAGGATGTATCCCAGAGGGAGACATTGTTATCACAGGAGACGACAGCTCAGTGCATGCTATTGCTCCTGAAGACATTATGGGAGACATATAGAGGTGAAAGACAGTGATATTGATGATCCTGACCCTATGTAGGCTTTGGCTAATGTGTGACTCTGTGTCTTCATTTTTAATTTTAAAAAAGTGTCAAAAGTAAAAAATTCAAAAATTTTTAACGTAGAAAAAGGTTTACAAGATAAGGATATAAAGAAAGAAAATGTTTTTGTACAGCTCTACAGTGTGTTTTTGTTTAAGCTAAGGATTATTACAACAGTCAAAAGTTAAAAAATAAGAAGTTTATAAAGCAATAAAATTACAGTAAGCTAAGATTAACTTATTATTGAAGAAAGACAATTTTGTTAATAAATTTAGTGTCACCTAAGTGTACAGCATTTATAGAGTCTAGAGTAGCAAACAGTAACATCCTATGTGTTCACATTCATTCACCACTCACCCACTCAGCCATCCAGAGCAACTGCCAGTCCTGCAAGCTCCATTCATGGTAAGAGTGTACTTTTTTATCTTTGTTTTTTTTTTCCCCCCGAGTCTCATTATGTTGCCCAGGCTGGAATAGAGAGCAGTGGTGAGATCTTGGCTCAGTGCAACCTCCACCTCTTGGGTTCAAGCAATTCTCCTGCCTCAGCCTCCCAAGTAGCTGGGATTACAGCCAACTGCCACAACATCTGGCTAATTTTTGTATTTTTAGTAGAGATAGGGTTTCACTATGTTGGCCAGGCTGGTCTCAAACTCCTGACCTCAAGTGATCCTCCTGCCTCAGCCTCTCAAAGTGCTGAGATTACAGGCATGAGCCACCACACCCAGCCCATTTTTTATCTTTTACACCTTATTTTTATTGTACTTTTTATATGTTTAGATACACAATTACATACCATTGTGTTACAATTGCCTACAGTATTCAGTAGCGTAACATACTGTACAGGTTTGTAGACTACACGTAATAGGCTATACCTATAGCCAAGGCATGTAGTAGGCTACACCATCTAGGTTTGTCTAAGTACACTCTATGATGTTCACACAAGGAAGTTGCCTAACAAATGCATTTCTCAGAATGTATTCATGTCATTAAGCGACGCATGACTGTGCAGCTAAATAAACCTGGGAAGTTCTGGTTTCATGATTATAAGAAGAGAATGCAGAACCAGAAGGGACACCGTTTGCT